AGTGTTGGTTTTAGCCATAGCATTTATATAGAAAATTACTTTTTGTACATAGCAGCTCCATGTAGCTACTAATTTTTTTTTTTTAAACTACCAATAAAGATATGAGCAAGGCCTCACCTTAATACCAAAAAAAAAAAAAAAAATTAGTCTTAACTGTAAGTGTTGACCTCAACCATAGTATTTATATAGAATTATTTTTGTACATAGTAATTCTATGAAGTTACTAATCTTAAAAACTACTAATAAAGATATAAGCAAGGCCTTATCTTAATACCAAAAAAAAAGTATATTCTTTTTGTAATAATTTATAGAATTTATTAATAAAAAGATTATTAATAAAAATTAAAAACCAAAAAGATCATCTTAATACCAAAAATAATAATAATAATAAATTTGTAGAGATATAATAATATAGTGAAGTAATTATATTAGTAACTTTTAAATAACAAATCTAGAATTCAAATCTAAATATTAATGAAAATTTTAAATTTTTTTTGTATTATGATCAACTATCTTTTATTATTAGTTAAAATAAGATATTATTACTTGTATTATATCAATATAACAAAAAGATTATATAACATTTATATAATAATTATACTTTGTATAAAGAATATAAATTGGTACTAGATAGTATAAACTTATGATAAGTTCTCATAGTTATATAAATTACAAGAAATAAAAAGACAAAAACTTATTAAAAGACCTAAATAAAAAGATAATCTGAACATTTAATAGTGTTACTATAAAGACTAGATCTATAAAACAGAACTAGAACTTATGAAGTTGGATAAAAACAAGTTAGATTTTAAAAGAAAATATTCTAATTAGCCAAACTGCCAGAACTATAAAAAAAGCAACAGAAGAAAAAGTTATATGTTAAAGAATATATAAACTAAAAGTATAATTATATCTATTATTTTGAACTATCTAGACTAAAACTTGATAAAACTTGAATTAAATACCAAAATAATAAGAATATGTTGTGAAATAAGTGTCAGAATTAAGATAAACTCTACAAAAGTATAATAGCTTAATAGTATGTTTTGATCATAAGTATTAGTTTTGACTATAACATTACTGAATCAATTGTAAAAATAGAATACAGAAGATTCTGAAAGGTTTAGTACAAGATCAAAGGTTTCTTATATAAGTGAACTGCTTTAAAGATTTAATAATTATAACATATTTTTATTAATATCAACTAAAATTATTAATAAATATAAATATAGAACTAAAATGTTTAAATAAAGAACTTATAAGCAGGTTTTAGATATGGCAACTTTTAAATAGACTACTTAAATTAGATAATAACTAAAGTTGTATGAATAACTAGTTGTATATTTTTTTCATAATTGCATCTGTGGTTGTAATGCAACTATTAGCTAAATATACTATTTATAAAATTTTGGATCATAAGTACTCATCTTAATATTTAAAAAATAATAATAAATTTGTATTAAGAAAAGTATCATCTCTGTGCAAGTTTTACTTTTTCATATTATAATAACCTGAACTCTATTACTTTTAAAGTTATATTATGATTTTAAAAATCAAATCAAATTTAAATTACATAAGGTTTTGAAAAGTACTAAACATTTTTACTTAGTATATCTGACTTCTGTTTCTTAGTTCTGTTTTTGAAATATAGCACTAAAGTGGTCATCTTAGATTATAGTTAATAATATTCTTGTATTTTATTTACAATATAAATAATATAAATTAAAAGATTTTCATTAAATTGTTTAAAGCCTAAATCTTTATTATCAATTTTTTGAATGAAAAATCTAATCATTATTGGGTGCCATATATTATTAGCCAACCAAAAATTTACTAATGTAATTAATAAAATGATATAAAAAATACATATATATTGAATACAACTAATGTGATTTAAACCAATTGTTCAAATTTTTATTAATTTTTTTTAAAAAAAATCGATTAAATGCAAATTTATCATAAATTCGAATAAATTTGCCTACAAATTAAGAGAAGATAAAAAGTTTTTTATCCAAACAATATAATTATCAATAAATACAATAAGTTATTTAAAACACAATTAAATTCTATATAATGACTTTAAATTTTTATTAGTTTATTTAAATATATAAAGTAAAATATTTAAACAAAAATTTTTTAAAATATTTAGCTCCATACATACTATGCATTTACCCAGTTTTACATTAAGCTCTTGGACGATACCTTCCCCCACCTCCTCTACCACCACGAATACTTCGATCGTTGTCACGATGCTGATCTCTTCCGCGATCAAATCTTTCTTCTCTGTCTTTATCTCGATCTCCCCAATCGCGCTCTTGCTCATTCCAATCACGATCACTTTTTCCTCCACTATTTCTAGATCCTCTACTTCTTGGGCTATCCTGTCGATTACGATGATGGTTTCGTTGTCTTCTGTCAAGATAATCACGATAATCTGAATGAGGGGGTGATGGTCGTCGATGATTTCGATCTCTCGGTGGTCTCATGTCATAAGATCGTCGGTCTTCATGATCCCATGATGATCGATTATCGAGATCCATTGGCCTGTTATCTGAATTCCTTTCCCACATAGGTGGCCGATTGTTAGTTTTATCCCATGGACGATTATCCTGTGGAGGCACCCATTGAGGCTGTTCGCCAGGACGTCTGTTATCTGATGGCACTGGTGGATAATGATATGGTGGTACATTTTGACCAACAGATGGTGGCCCATTTTGACCAACTGGAGGTGGTACGTTCTGACCAACTGGAGGTGGTACATTCTGGCCAAGTGCTGGTGGGCCATATGGAATTTGTTGCTGCGGCTGTATTGCAGGAGGTTGTGTATGTGGATAATTTGGGTGTGGATGTGCATAAAATTGTTCATATTGGGGGGGAAATCCCGGTGGCATCTGCCCCGGTGGAGGCATTTGTCCTTGTGGCGCTGGTTGTGGAGGACCTTGTACGACATGTGGTGGTGGTGGTGGCATAAACTGACCGTTCGGTGGCGGTGCTGCGGCTGGAAAAGGTGCAGGGTATTGGTTTGGTTGAGAAGGCATATGCATCTGTGGTGGCGGTTGTTGCGTAGGCATAGCATAAGCGGTTGGAGGACCACTTGGCGGAGGTCCATTAAATTGAGGTTGTGGTTGTTGGAATTGATTTGATGATGTATTTTGACTGGGAGCAGCTAATAAAGACTGCAGCAACCCGGGAAAAATTCCGCTTGGTGCTGACGTCACCGCCGTCACATTTGGAGAAATTTGCTGGTTTGGCGGTGAGTTCGCTGGGGCTATAACCATATTCGTCTGTGGTGTCATAATGTGGGCCACCGGACTATTAGTTATAACATTAGCTCCGATATTTGGTTGGACATTACTACCCAATTGACCATTATATGCAGTTTCTACTTTCTCTTTTTTAATTGACCGTGTTGCATTATTCACATTCAATTCACGTGGACGTTTCGTTTTCACAGATTCAGCTTCAACAATGACAATAGCACCCAATAATAATTTTGATTGACGTTTTTCATTATTTTTTGGTATTAGTAGCTCATCATAATCTAAAAAGGTAAAAACGTCAGGTACTTTATCATCTGGTTCTAATGGAATAATGTACATTTCCCTAACATTACTATACGCATTTGCAACGCGTCCATAACGCATCACCCTATCCTTTTGAGAATAGCGTAAGTAATTAAATATCATATCAAATTGTTGCTTGTCATCAAGATTATCAACATAATCAAATTTGATAATAGCAACATCTTTTGAAGGCGAACACCAACTATCAATTAAATATGTTTCCGCTTCATCCACCCGCGACACGTGACCGTTAACCCTGATAACCGTTGCAAGAAAATCTTCCCAACATCTTTCTTTACTCCGTTTTTTTGCGGCAACAAGGCTTGCTTTGCCAGAAAATCTGGCTACACTATCATATACCAATTTACCCGACCATAAATAATTTAATGATAGTTTAGGCTCGTTAAGGTTAGTAGGTACACCAGGAGGAGTATGAGGACTCATCTTAGGCGATACTTGAGGAGAAAGTTGTGGTGAATTCACTGGTGAACTCACCGAAATTGCCGTAGGACTACCTGTCACATCAGTATCAATAAACATGTTATTATTATTGGCAGGTTGTTGGTCATCATTATTTTCTTCATGTGGCGTAACTTTAAAGAAATTAGTTCTGAGGTCTTCCGTACTAGATGAAGTCCTCCGAGACAAAGAATCATCTTTTGATGTGTCACTGTTTGCAGATAATGGATTATTACCATCTGCTGTGCTAGCACGTCGTTTAGGCACTAAGTCTTCAATATTTATTTTCGGTCTTGTGTTAGTAGATGAGGTAAAAGTGCCATTTGCGGTAGATGCAGCAGAATTGGCATCTGGTGCATCACGTTTAGGCGATTCATGTCCACCTTCAATTATTATGAATTCGCCTTTATGAGTTTTCTTGATTCTTGGCCCGTCATCAACTTTCAAAACCGATTGTTGCATACTTTCTCTACGAACTTTAACCATTAAGGATTTCTGTTCAGGATTCGCCAACTCTTCTGCAGACATCATTACTAATCGAACTGGTGGAATGTCACCTTTGACGACCTGCATTAATAAATCTTCGTTTTTTGGATGACTAAGACTCGTATGAAGATTTCGAAATTTTGATTTATAATTCTGACCCAAACCGTCTTTATCAGTTTTAGCGGCGAAATTATCGTAAATAGATTCCTCGATACGCCGGGCAAGACGCTGAGCTAGTTGCTCCGGTCCTTCTTGTGTATTTTGTAATTCTCCTTTTTCGCTCAGTTCATTATATTTTTTAGCGAAAAGAGATTGGAATTTTTCCAAACATATATTTCGCACTTTGGTAGCATTATCACCCGAACTTCCTGACATTTTTTTCTGCTGTGCGGGCATCTTTTTAATTTGAGATGACGGTTTTGTGCCTGCTGGCGCAGAATTAGAAATCATAGAAGGGGGCCTTTGATTAACAAGGCCTATTTTATTAGTTGTATGTAAAGACCCGTTAAGTGCTGCAGGTTGTGCAGGTTTTGGAAGTACAGGACGATGCACTTTTTTTGTTTCCGCGGCAGCAGGTGGTGAAGATGCATCCGATCCCTTTGTCATTTTAATCTCTAGAATCTTGTCACGTAATAAACAGCTTTCACCACAATAAGGATTATTTTCACGTGCAGGTTTTGAACAATCTTTAAACAAACATTTCGTTGGTTTTGGAGGTTCCTGAATTTAGATACCAATAAAATTAATATAAGCAAAAACGCTCATGAATTCACTTTAACTTGATCTGAAAATAGATGACACTAATTGCCATATGAATTTAGATGTTAGACGGTTAACTTACACTGGAAGTTGGCTCTTCGATTAACAATGCCTTTGGATCGATGCCCGTAGCCTCTGCCATTGGGCGATCATCTATAAAGATTCAAGTATTGTTAGCAGAGTTAGCAAGCTTTCCTACATGTACATGGGTTGCACGATGCCGCAGCATGCCCAAAAAGCAAGAGACTTTCAAATACAAGCAGTACAAATTTAAAAGAAAGCGAAAGATTGGGAATCATAAACTAAAATTACGATATATGTATATATATATATTTTATGGTAATAATACAACATGAATTATGATATAATTCTAAATGATCTTCGTGATGTCATCAGTTGACGTATACTTGTGTTACCAACTCTGTTATGGCACCTGCAAAAAATACAGCGAAAAAATAGCGTGATGCAAGCGAAACACACCTTTGATTAAACCAATGAGCGAAGGATTTTCTACTTGACATTTTGGGCAATGGTATTTGTCAACTTCCTGCGCCTGTTGTGGCGTGATATTCACACACTCACAATGAAACCTATATATGACACAATTCAAGTATATTATGTAGAATGAGCACATCAACTATTGGATCTATTTTTGTAAACCTTGGGCCAGGCATTTATAAAAGTTATGAACAATTTATTTTTTGCGATCACTATTGAAATTAAAACTTGCCACTCATTGCACGAATCACATTCAACCATGACTCCGAAAGCTGGACCACGACATATACAGTAAGGTCCATCATCAGTCTCTCCTTGACCCTTTTTAGGTCTTTGTCTTCTTTGCCGAGGTTGGATTCCAGGGGTAGGTCGCATTTGATTTGCGAACCGAGTTCCGTAAGAATGCCCTTGTTGGACTTGTATAGGTTGTTGTGGCTGCGTCATTAGGGTGGGATCGATAAGAAACTGCGTAGCTGCCTCAGGGTTTATCAACATCGATTGGGCATTGTTATCCTGAACCGTTTGTACAGAATCATGAAGTACGAGAGAAGATGTATTCCAATCTTGTGTAGTTATTTGACCGTCCGGTGTTGCACTGATATTCCATATTATTTGTGGACCGTCAGTCACAGCAATAGTATCAGAGGAGTGAACAAATTCATCAAAATGTATATAATTCAAATCTTCAACTGTAAAACCATTTCCGTTTTCTATAGTGGCTCCACCTAAATTTCCAAGGGATTGCTCATGTCTTTCGGTGTCATTTATATATTGTGACATGGAAACGTTTCCCATTTCCTCAGCCATTACTACATTGTCATCCATTTCTCCACCGAAAGGCAAATTTACATATTTACTTAAATCGCTATTTTCCATGAATTAACCTATTACCTTTAATAAGCTGTTATAAATATAAAACGAATTATAAAATTTAATAATAGTACATTACAAAAAAAAAAAAAAAAAACGCAGGTCACCGAGAAAAAATTACTCAAGAAGCAAAACGTACCTTCAAAGAAGAGATTGGGACAATACGTTGCACAATAACGAATCTGCAACTTCTTTTTATTAAACACTACGAATAAGCTAAATGCAAAACACTATTCAAATCTTTTACAAATGATTTAGATCTGTAAAAACCTAATATTATTCTTTATTATCAATTTGAATATCTTAACTAGGACCGATAGACAGAAAAACTTTACTTTTTTAACCTTATTTTTTTTCTCTTTTTTTTTTTTTTTGAAACTATTGACTAACAGCTCAATGTTTTCGAGTGTGAAGAAATTACTCGCTATAGTTTGTTGGAAGGAGTTATTGCTTTTTTTACAATATTGTAGGGCTGTGCAACCGGAAAGCGTGGGTCTTATCAACGACTATCCTGATTTAGAAAATGAGTGGATGATGGCTGATATAATGATTAAGTTTCACTGTTTACTATTGGATAAAATTTATAGCATTAACGATCTAATGATTTATCCAAATTATTGTCGTTATTTTTTTATACGTAACCGATAATGAAATCTTAAAAATTAAATTTTAGCGTAAGGCAAAAAGTCAGAATTGCATACTGGAGTTCAGAAGTTATTTTATACGCACTGTCCCTTACGTTGTCCAGATTATCGTGAGGCTTTTAATATGCTGCAATATAAACTACTATTATATATAGTTTTATTATAGAATATATACAATTTGTTGAAAATTTTGCCTGCAAGGCGAGTGTAAGGGATATAGTAACTACAATTGTTTTATAATTATATATCTGTTCGAATAGTTTTACCATTTTGGATTTTTAAATTTAAAATAATTTATATATTAAACTGAAAATACAATGCGAATAAAAAAGATGGTTTGCTTTATTATAGAAAAACGGTAATTTACTGTCTTATTATTAATGATTATTACCAGTGATTTATAATAATTAATATGGGAGTTTATGTTGATGCTAAGTTCTTATTTAATTTAAAATATATATCTACTAAAATATATATATATATTTTTTGTTAATAATATTAATTTTAAATTTTAATCTAATAATGATTATTTGAACCAAACCTATACTAAAAGTAGTTTGAAAACTTAAAAGTTAAAATAAATACTTTATTATTTTTTTTTTATTTTTTATTTTTTATTTATATAATATCAAATAGGTAAAATAATAGTACATGAATATATCAATTGGATATAAATATATAACTAAAATATATTATTTCTAAACTACATTATTGTTGCTATATACTTAACAACATCTAGTGTAATATTATTCTTTAATATTCTATTATTAGTTAAGTTAATTATTATAATTATTAACTACAAAGAATAAAAGAAACCTTTAAAATTGTTTTAATTAATAAAAGTAAATATATATAGTAGAATTTTAAGAAAGAGTTTTAAAAATGAAAAGATCTATATTTAGAAAAAAAAGTTACATGAACTCTTTTTGACTATCATCTGAATTAAGTTGGTATTAAAAGTAGATTGATGACTCTGATTCTAAAGTGGATAATATTCTTAGTTTTATATTAAGTAAACTTACTATTGACAAAGCTCAAATACATAATACACTAAGAAATAGGCAAAACTTGAATAGTTCTTGTTTTAGGTTAAGTTTTTTGTCTGACAAACTTTCTTACATATTCAATATCCAAACTAGAAGGATATTTAAAAACAAATAGAAACAAAATCAGTTCTCTGATTAAGAATATTAGAAGTAAAAGAAAAAGAAGAACAACTAGAAAAACTTTTTAATTTGAATTCTTATAACAACAATATATCTTTTTTTATCTTTTTTTTATTTTATTTTTTTTTAAAAAAGTAATAATTTGGCTTATTCTCATCAAAAAATTAATATTGTATATTACTTTCTTTTGTGGTTATATACTTGTTTGGACATGGCAAATAAGGAATACAACAAACATATAAGTTGATTAATCATATGAAGCAAATCAGAAAAGAATTTAATTCATAAAGACCAAAAATATATTAAGATATACATATATTCTAAAGAATATTTTTTAAAAAAAATAGTTACAGAAATTTATAAAGAATTGGACTATTTAAGTACATTTCAAACCTTGACATAATACTCCATTTACTTGAAGATTTCTTCTATATGAAAAGTGTCTAGCTTGAACTTTATTTTACAAGTAAATACAGTTTTCATTCTGATTAAAATATCTAGTTTTTAGAGAATCATCATAGTCTATAAAAATATAAAAATATTATAGCAAGGATGGTGATTCTAATGCAGTGGTTGAGTTGTCATTTTCTAAGCAATAGATCCAATATTCAATTTTCATTAGTGACAGATTTTAAAAAAATAATCCTATTTTAGCAAACTTATCTATAATCTGAGGTTTGTAGATTCTGTAATTCTGATTATACCAAGACTAACTTTAGAAATGTACAATGTCACATGAATAGTCTGCTTAGAAATTCTAAACAGAGAGGTAGTATTATGTTCGATAGTATTACTTGTAAAGATCTTGATCTGAAAAAGAAAACCTAGATCAAGTGATCTGTATAAGCAAAAACTTCTAGATAGGAAGTCCACCAATCTGGCCATCAGTTGATCTGAGCATAAAGTCATATTATGCAAGCCTAACTGGATTGGTAGTATAGGAAAACTTGTAAAAGTAGACAAGATATCAATAAGGTTGTAAAAAAATAGTACTAGGGTTTTATAAACTTTGTAAAGATTGTAAACTAGATTTAGTTATAAATTAAGATACAGAAGGTTCTAGTAACAATGTCTTGAGGATAATCTGCATAAAATAAGGCAGGAGTCCTAAAGATATGAGTATGAATCTAGAACTTCTCAACTGGCATTATGTATTGGAGATGTTCTAGTAATGCAGTAAGAATTGCAGTACAGAGGGTTTAAATAAACAACACTTGTAGTTGAATTGTAAGTATAGCAGCTAATGTAGAACCTATATATAGGCAGACTATTTAAATTAGATACCAAAAGTGTATGTGTAGCTAAATGTACTCTTTAATATAAAGTAGCTCCTTTGAGGTAATCAGATTGTAAACTATCATGTTCTATTATATTAAATAAAAAAGCTCTAGTTCTTAAAAGACTAGTTTAACTATAAAAAAAATAAAAACATTGTAGCAAACAGTAATCATAGAATAAAGTTTTGGAGATGTGGCGACCTAGTGAAGTGGATAGGTTGTTAACCCTCAAGTGGCAGGTCTAAGGTTCAATTCTCATGAACAACAAATTTTGAAAATTATACCTGTGTTACAGTAACTGTTTCTTGCCGATCAGTTGGGTTTTGGGCATCTGTAATCTTAGGTATACCAAGTCAGGTCCCACCTGACATTGGGAACTCGGGGCATCTATGCGAAGTGTAATATTACATAGTATATGTATATAGAGGAATGTAAAACCGGTATTATATAAGGCTTTGAGCAAACCCACAATAAGACCACTGGGCATAAAAGGCTAAGAAACTGAAGAGACAGAAACTTACTTGGAAATCCTAAGT